ATAAAAAAATATAAAATTAATATTTTAAAAAAATTAAAAATTTATTATCTTATTTAAAAATAAATAAAATTCATATTCTTGAATAAAAAATAAAAAATAAAAAATTTATCCCTTTTTTTATCTGCAAACCCAAACGGTCCTATAATCAAGGCTCTATTATAAGATGATTAATATTTTACTATAATTTCCAACCATTCGAAACTGTAAAACATTTTTTATACCAGAAAAGGTGAGATGTGGAACGATAAACTGCCCACATGCCACATCTCATTCTCACCCTGTTTTATTGGCCAACAGGGTTCAACTGAAAATCAGCAAGGAAATGAGTCAAAGTGAAGCCAACCCCATTAAGCATTAAACAATTTCCAATGGATTTCGACCCAACTAATAAAGTTTGTTTCTTTGTTGTTCTAATCTATCAACTAAAATAGATTCACAAGGCATTTCTGTCTTTGCAGGGCCGTGGCAAGCAGACCCACCAAACTAAACCCAACCTTTTTATCCTCACATAAAAGGGGCCTGTGGCTGTTACTTGGCTGTCACAGTTTGCCTCTTATTTTCTTTCGTTTTCTTTGTCTCGGGTGTTTTCTTGTTGTGTTCAGTTAACTTAAGATTGTAGAAACGGTTGTGTCAAGCATGGAAATTTCAGAGCTTTTTGAATTTGGGAGCTTGAGTTTTGAGAAAGCGAATGCTTTGGTTATTATCACCAAATTGAATTCTGGGGTTTCCATAAATAGCCTGAAACTGCTTTTCGCTTCTTTTACACTGTTTGTGGGTCTTTGTTAATCTTCATTTGCCTTCACTTCTTGCTTTGCTCCAAGCTCGCCATATGCACCATTTTTTCGATACCTGGTTTTCTTCATCATCATTGAGGAGTTCGGGCTAGAGCTTTGAGATTTGAATTTTCATGGGATGGGGGTTGTAAAGCCAGGGAATCTGCAGCTGATGCAGTTTTGTGTTATTGGCTTTGCATTAGTTGTTGAGGTGTCTTCAGGTAATTCCATATCCTCACATTTCTTCGTTGAAAATTGGTCTTCTTTGATTAGACTTGGTGGCTTAAAGAACTATTAGATTTTATGTGAGTTCTATGATTTTTCTGTTTAATAAATAATTTGATAATCTGGGTAGATCAAAATTGCTCTTTTTGAGTGTTGTTTGTATGGCCAGTAAAATAATGAGGCTTGTTTTTCCAAATTGTGTTCAATTCTGTAGTAAGATTTTGTTTTGAGATTTGTTTGTAAAACAACGGGGAATGGTTCTTTTGAGATCCACATGTCTGGATTAGCATCTTCATTCATGGATCTATACATGCTATCATCTTGTAGTAGAACTTTTCATGATAATTTGCCTATTTAGAGGTTTGGAGCATGTAGATTCATGTTTTCCAAACCCAGCAATTGCTAACATGAGAGTCTTCAAATCTGGTTGTTCTTCCTAACATCATCTGGTTGTTCTTCCTAACATCATGTCCCAAAGATAATGTTATTCATCACCGCCCATATTTCACTTAGGCTGAGCTTAGGCTTCACCAAAGAAATGGCTTTCATTGGGGTATCTGAAAAATTGCTTCAGTGTAGCATTATTAGACTTGGCAATTGCCTCTCTCCTTTCGTACTGTCATGGCATATCTCCAACAAACAGATGGATATTTTTGTATCAGTAAAAGGATCTTTGATGAGCCACGGTCTTGCATGTCAATGTTGAGTAGAGCCGAGCAGTCTTGCCTCTCGTTTCTATAGAACACATAACAATGGCCTTATGATCTTGTATGTTACACTGCTGAGTCCCCCTCATCTGATAATTGAAGGCAAAATATTGTTTGTGAATTGATACTGCCCAGGATATTTCAGTTGTATGTCTTGAAACAGGGAGCGATAACTGATAAGCCAGCCATCTTTCTGACATTTCCGAAAGTTGTTAAACTTTTTTCTTTTAATTTTTTAATATTAAAAATATATGCAAATTGCAAACATTAATGGGTTTGTGGTTTCTTTGAATCTACTCTGAAATTATCACCTTTTTATTTTTTTCAGTGCGTAACATGTCCCCATCTACAGCAAAATCTTCTGTGAGTCATGTCCAGCAAATCAGCAATGCCGTTGGCTCACCATTTCAACAAGATGGTAACCAAACTGAAGTGGTTTAAAATGTTATTGTTCTTGAGATTATTTGATTGAATTTTTGGTTTGATAATCCAGGGTCAGATCTACATTCTCCACCAGCCTTACCACCCTTTTTATCTGTCCCAGTGCCTGAGATAGCAGAAGGACATATACACTCCATGACACCAAGTTCTTCAGTAGGATCACCAGTTTATAATACAGCTCCTCCACCATCAATTGAGGAAGGACATGTTCCATCCACATTCCCAATTCCTCCAATATTATCACCACCATTGCTTACAGCTTCTCCACCCTTACTTGTTCAAGGACATGCTCCATCCATCTCACCAAGTGCTCCTCAGATGAAGGAACCGATTAGTAGATCTCCTGTCTCAGGACATACTCCATCCATCTCACCAAGTCCTCCTCATATGAAGGAATCTGTTGGTAAACCTCCTGTGTCAGGATATACTCCATCCATCTCACCAAGTCCTCCTCAGATGAAGGAACCAGTTAGTAAATCCCCTGTGTCAGTGTCAGATGCTCCAGGTATCTTTGTAATTAGATTGTCATTTTTATCCCATCAAGTTAATGCAAATTGACTTTTGGCAATAATCCATCTGCTTTTGTTTCAACATGCAGCTCCAATTGCGTCACCTTTAAGGAATTTGCCAAAAAATTCACCAGCCATCAACACAAGTATGCTTGCTAATTGAAAACATGTATTGAATAACTAGGTAACTGTAAAGTTGAATGTGGTTCTAATCTACCTGTTTCTTCTAACCTGCAGCAACAGTTCCAAAACCTTCACATAAATCTCCACAAAGTTTGCCTGCCATCTCCCAATGTAAGCCAAAAGCTACCATTAAGTCTTAATATAGGAAATGCATCAAATAGCTGAGATAACCAGAACTGAGTTCGGTCTAATGCAGCTTCTTCTATTCTAATCTGCAGCTCCAATCTCAACACCTCTGAGGGATTCACCCCTAAATCCACCAGCTAAACACTCCAATAGAACAAGTGCTTTTCAACCTAGTAATCAAACAAATGATATGGCTCCTGTTCTGCAGCCAACTGCTCCAGGTTTGTACTTATTAGTGTTGTGCGTCATTCTTAGATGAAATTGAGTTTGGTTCTAATGCAGCTGCTCTTATTCTGACTGGTAGCTCCAATCTCAGTGCCTTTGAGGAATTCATCACTAAACATACCAGCCACTCCCTCCAGCATGCCAAGAGCTTTGGCACCAACTTCCAGTCAAAGAAATTTGTCAAATAATGAGGCTCCTACTCTGCCGACTGCTCCAGGTATATGGATTGTGGTTTGATGGGTTTTTTTAATAGATAAACTTAAAGGGGACTTTGGTTCTAATGCAATTACTTTTATTCTAATGTCTAGTTCCTGTTGCAGTACCTTTGGCAAATTCGCCACATAAGTTACCTCGCATTCCCTCCAGTAGCCCAAGTGGTAGTCAAAGAAATGCAACAAATAGTAAGGCTCCAGAGCTGATTGCTCCAAGTATATTATTGTTAGTTTGATGAGTCATTTTAGATCTTCAATGGATACTGTTTTCCAACTATTCCAATTTCTACCTTTTTTGTTCCTTTTTTTTTTTTTTTTGAAAAAAATGAATTTTACCTTTACAATATTCCTTTCCTACAATATGATTTCAGTTGCATCTCCGCCAAGGAAATTAGAAAGCTCCCCGCCGACAGCCCATCCAATGGTGCCTGGAAATCCACCTTCCATTTTACCTGGTATGCCTGCTTTTGTGGTTCCCAAGAAGCCTTTTATCTAATGATAATGCAAAACTTGACAATTGTGTTGCCTAGTGCAGTACTACCCCTAGCACTGGCCATCCACCAAATTCTGCACAGATAAACTTCATCTTTATCATGCTCTAACCAATAGCCTATTTAATTGGTCTTCATATGAGGTTGTGGGCTTTGAATTTATTTTTTGTTTTCTTCTCTTTTATGCCTTTGCTGCTGTGGATGAAGATATTGGTGTTTCTCCTGCACCAACTCCACCTCAGAGCAACAACAGGGGAAACCACGGTACCCCACTTGCCTCACCTGGAGCTGAAACTCACAAGCCATTGCCACCTGTGGAGCATTCCCCAAAAAAGGGTAAATTTCAAATATGGAGAAAATTTTAAGTTAAATTATCATGCTCTAACCAGTAGCGTATTTAGTTGGTCTTCATATTTTTGTTTTCTTCTCTTTTATACTTTTGTTGCTGGGAATGAAGATACTGCTGTTTCTCCTGCACCAACTCCACCTCAGAGCTTCAACAGGGGAAACCATGGTACCCCGGTTGCCTCACCTGGAGCTGAAACTCACAAGCCATTGCCACCCACTGAGCATTCCCCCAAAAAGGGTACATTTTCAAATATTGAGAAAATTTTTAAGTTAAATTATGATGCTCTAAACAGTAGCCTATTTAGTTGGTCTTCATATTTTTGTTTTCTTCTCTTTTATACTTTTGTTGCTGGGAATGAAGATATTGGTGTTTCTCCTGCACCAACTCCACCTCAGAGCATCAACAGGGGAAACCATGGTACACCGGTTGCCTCACCTGGAGCTGAAACTCACAAGCCATTGCCACCTGCAGAGCATTCCCCAAAAAAGGGTAAATTTTCAAATATTGAGAAAATTTTTAAGTTAAATTATCAGGCTCTAACCAGTAGCCTATTTAGTTGGTCTTCTTATGAGGTTGTGGACTCTGAAGTCTATTTTTGTTTTCTTCTCTTTTATACTCTTGTTGCTGGGAATGAAGATATTGGTGTTTCTTCTGCACCAACTCCACCTCAGAGCATCAACAGGAAAAACCATGGTACCCCAGTTACCTCACCTGGAGCTGAAACTCATAAGCCATTGCCACCTGTGGAGCAGTCCCCAAAAAAGGGTAAATTTTCAAATATTGAGAAAATTTTTAAGTTAAATTATCTTGCTCCAACCAGTAGCCTATTTAGTTGGTCTTCATATGAGGTTGTGGACTCTGAAGTCTATTTTTGTTTTCTTCTCTTTTATACTTTTGTTACTGGGAATGAAGATATTAGTGTTTCTCCTGCACCAACTCCAACTCAGAGCATCAACAGGAAAAACCATGGTAACCCAGTTACCTCACCTGGAGCTGAAACTCCCAAGCCATTGCCACCTGTGGAGCATTCACCAAAAAAGGGTAAATTTTCAAATATTTAGCAAAATTTTAAGTTACATTATCATACTTTAACCAATGGCCTATGTAGTTGATCTTTTTATGTGGTTTTGGGCTCTGAAGTCTATTTTTTGTTTTTTTCTCTTTTGTACTTTTGTTGCTGGGAATGAAGATATTAGTGTTTCTCCTGCACCAACTCCACCTCAGAGCATCAACTGGGAAAACCATGGTACCCCAGTTGCCTCACCTGGAGGTGAAACTCACAAGCCATTGCCACCTGCGAACCACTCCCCTAAAAATGGTAAATTTTCAAATAATGAGCAAAAGTTTGAGTTACGTGATTACTATTGACACGATGAAGTTTTTGCGGATGCCATTTTCAGGTTCTTCTGCAGCTGTTTCTCCTATGCACAAATCAGTGAGGCCCCCTTATAAAGCTCCCACTCCATCAGTTTCATCTCCTAAACCTTCTCCAAATGAGGGGCATTTTCCTTCTGCATTGTCACCTTCACCATCATTTGAAAAGCATCAACATCCAAGGAACAAAATTACCAGTTCTGCTCCCACATCATCATATCTGATATCACCTCCTTCAGAACAGCAAGGTTTATTAATTTATACTATAGTATTGTCCCATCAGACTTACTTTTCCTAGAGTTTAAAAAGTTTCCTTTAACATTGCCTCTAAATGTTCTGCACAGGTCCTGTCATATCTCCAGATTTTCCAAGAAAAAGGCAAAGACACTATGCTACTCCACCCCTTAATCCTGGTACTGGATAGCAATTTCTTAACTGTTTTCTTAAGTCCCAAGTCTAGGAAGTGGGTTTAATGGTTCTCCTGATCACTAACTTTGTTCCTTCACTACAGGTTCTTCATTTCCCCCACCCCATGCTCCTTCATCAATGAGCCATTTGTCATCTGCTCCCTCACCATCTCCAATGACTGTGTCTAGCCAGATGCCAAGTAAGAAAACTTCATATCACTTGCTTGATATCTTAAATATTGTGCATGAAGTAACCTTATTAATTTATCTTATTCTTAATGGCTTACCTCATGATTTGGTGCTTTCTCTTGAAGTTCCCCATTTATCCCCAGTAGTTTCTCCTCCTGCATCACAAAGTCCAAAGGAGCCTGTCTTGCCACCAGTTCAATTCTTTCCGCCTCCACCCCCTAATAAAGGTTAAGGATTAGTTTTCATTTATTTTGGTATCTCTACCATTTGTTGTCACATCTTCATGTCACTAAAGAGTGACAGTATATTTTTTGTACAGATTGCTCCGGAATTGCTTGCACAGAGCCATTAACAAATACAGTTCCTGGGTCACCCTGTGGCTGTGTTTTGCCAATGCAAGTTGGACTTAGCCTTAGTGTTGCACTGTATACCTTCTTCCCTTTGGTTTCTGAGCTGGCAGTAGAAATTGCTGTTGGGGTTTTCATGAAACAAAGCCAAGTTCGAGTTATGGGGGCCAATGCTGCTAGTGAGCAACCAGAGAAGACAGTTGTCCTTCTTGACTTGGTACCTCTTGGTCAGAAGTTTGATAACACTACAGCCTTCTTGACCTATCAAAAATTTTGGCATAAACAAGTTGCTATAAATCCTTCATTTTTTGGTGATTATGAAGTGCTTTATGTGCGTTACCCAGGTATAATTATGCTTGGCATCTTGGTAATTTTTTTAACCCTTTTTGGTTGTGAAGTTTTCATAAAATTTTATAATCTAGGAAGTATAATGAAATGGGATTTGTAGGTTTACCGGCCTCTCCACCTTTGCCACCTTCAAGCATTGGTATGATCAATAATGACCCATATTCCAGTAATGACAACAATACCATGAAGCCCCTAGGGGTTGATGTGCAGAAGAAGCAGAATAAAAATGGCCTTAGTGGTGGCATGATTGCAATAATTATTCTGTCAGCCTCTGTAGCTGTGGTACTATGCTTGGCCTTTGCATGGGTTCTGCTTTTCAAGCGTAGAAATAATTTCGGACAACAGGCACCAACTCCACAGCCTTTGCCATCCTTTGCAAAACCATCAGGTACCATAATGCATATAATCTATTGGTTCTTTGAAACTCCAACAGTTATTTAATTTTAAATTAGTGAAGAAAAGAATGGGTTTATATAGATCATACTTCAATTTTTTTTAAAATGAGCAGATCATACTTCATATTAGTTCCTGTTAGTATTTCTCTTTACATCGTTTCATAGCCATCTAAATTGCATTAATCTGCAGTCAGTTTGCTCACATCCTGCCATCCTAGTTATTGTTTCCTCAGAAAAATGCATTCATCCAGTATTCTCTTCAATTTTATTTTTTCCCCTGTCAAGATGAAATATGTAAACAATTGCAGGTTCTGCTGGATCAATGGTTGGAAGCGGTCTAAGTTCTGCTTCACCATCATTTGCTTCCAGCATTGCAACTTATACAGGATCTGCTAAAACCTTTAGTGCAAGTGACATAGAAAAAGCCACTGACAATTTTGACTCTTCAAAAGTACTTGGGGAAGGTGGCTTTGGTCGTGTTCATAGTGGTGTTCTTGAAGATGGAACCAAAGTGGCAGTCAAAGTACTGAAGAGAGATGATCAACAAGGTGGAAGGGAATTCTTGGCTGAAGTTGAGATGCTTAGCCGCCTTCACCACAGAAACTTGGTCAAGTTGATTGGTATATGTACAGAGGAGCGCATTCGCTGCTTGGTTTATGAACTTATTCCTAATGGCAGTGTGGATTCTCACTTACATGGTTGTTTAATTGTGCTTTTTGCAGATTAATTTATAGGTTACAATTTTCAGTTGCAATTCTTTGCCATTAAAAGTAAATATCTTTTGTCTGCTTGTCTTTTCTCCAGGGGTTGACAAGGAATCTGCTCCGCTTGACTGGGATGCCCGAATAAAAATAGCATTAGGTGCTGCTCGTGGTCTGGCTTATCTGCATGAAGATTCAAGTCCACGTGTCATACACAGGGACTTTAAGGCAAGCAACATCTTGTTAGAAAATGATTTCACACCTAAAGTCTCTGACTTTGGTTTGGCTCGAACTGCCTTGGATGAGGAAAATAGGCACATATCAACACGAGTCATGGGAACTTTTGGGTATGAATCTTTCTCTCCTTGGCTGGATATGCTGTTGTCCAATACTTTATTGTGCATGTGTGTGCGTGAGCATGTGCATGTGTGATTTCAAGCCTGTTACAAGCTTTTTTGTACACTTTAGTGTGCAGGTAGCCAGAATGTATTCCTGATGTTTATATGTTCATGATCTATATAAATATCCAGGTATGTAGCCCCAGAATATGCAATGACCGGTCATCTCCTTGTGAAGAGTGATGTTTACAGCTATGGGGTGGTCCTTCTGGAGCTTCTAACAGGGAGAAAACCAATAGATATGTCACAGCCACCTGGTCAAGAGAATCTAGTTGCATGGGCACGTCCTCTTCTCTCAAGCAAAGATGGTTTAGAGACAATTATAGATCCATGTCTTGGATCTAATGTCCCCTTTGACAGTGTAGCCAAAGTAGCAGCAATTGCTTCAATGTGTGTTCAACCAGAGGTATCACACCGCCCGTTCATGGGTGAGGTTGTCCAGGCTTTAAAACTGGTCTGCAATGAGTGTGATGAAGCAAAAGATGTAGGCTCAAGAACTTCTAGCCGAGATGATTTGTCAACTGATTTAGAAGCTAGGGTGAGTACTGGTTCAGGACAGTTAACTGATCCCTTACAAAACCATCATTCAGCTCCCAAGTATGAATCTGCACTTGAAACTGAGAGAGCACTGACAATATCTCAGTCGTTTAGTGCATCAGCTAGATTTGGCGGGCAGTCATCCGAGTCATTTAGGAGGCACTCTAGTTCAGGTCCATTAGGAACAGGACGGGGCAAGCGATTCTGGCAAAGCATGGAGAAATCATCAAGGGGCAGTGTCAGTGAACACGGTTTTATATTCAGATTCTGGCCTGGCTCACATTGAACATTCCCTTTTTCTTTCCTTTCTTGTACATCAACTTCTCCTTCAAATTCAATTTTTCTAGGTCATCAAACCATCAGCATAAGCAGTTATTTGGTCATCTTTGGGCAGACAAAATGACATCCTGCTGGGTTTATAGAATTGGGAAATAAGCAAGAAAAATACCGAGAAGGCTAAGACTGGTGTTATGAGGAAGCAACCCCATGAATGTTGTTACTTCAAATTTTGATTTAACCTTCAATAACCTCTGGGAATTAAAATGGCTTTCATCAAGGAGCTGCAAGATGAGAGCAGATTGAATTTGCCCCTTGCCGCTTGGTGAGGCATCGGCAATAATGTTAATGTGGAATGCTATTTTCTTGATCTGTGACTGAATCCCTGCGAACTGTTGTCAAATTGTGTATTTAGAAGAGAAAGTATTGTTCCGAGTCCCCTTCATACCTCCCCACCCATGTAAAGAATTTTGCGTTTAATGAAATGTAGAGTTTCTTGCCTCCAAAGTTACAGAATTCCAGAAAATTTTGCCATGATAAAAATGTAGAACTCCTGTTCCTTAATAGATTAACTCGTTAATAAATTAATTATTGTGCACTTCAAATTATACCGAGCAACATAGTAAAGACGGTTAAATGAGGGATTGACTTTCTAATATTACCTCCTTCCTCCAATCATTTTTGTTTGGAAAATGATTTTTATATAATTATTTTATTTTATTTTTTTGTATAATTTAATGTATCATTAAAATAATTAATTTTTTAAATTAATGTAAGACCTATGATATTAAATATATTTATAACATATGAAAATTATATAAAAAAATAAAAAAATGTGTTGTTCCTATAATATCATCATTTTTGTTTTGTAGTCCGTTGAACATTCTTGAATAATGGATTTCATATCTGAGTCTTGCCCCCATGCTAGTTTTGTTTGTCTGGAAAAAACAGAATTAATTTTAAAATAAAATTTAGGTAAAAAATGGGGTTCGTTTACTATGAATTTTTTTTTAGTACAAAAAAAAAAGCCTTTTTTTTTTCTTTTATGGAGAAAAACACAGCCTTTTTTTTTTCTTTTTTTCTTTTTTTTTTGGTAAATAAAAACACAGCCTTTGCTTCATCAAATTTTGGACTAGGAGTACTATCCACCTCGTTGCCCCCCAAAGAAAAAAAAAAAAAAAATCTCAGTATTGACTTTCATTCCAGTCAATCTTTCCATACATCCAACGGTCCAGAACAGCTAGAACACGATCCTTGATGCGCCACCGTGTACCAAATTCCCAGTCAATTACTACTCCACAGTCTCCTCTCAACGTTATTTCCACTCCCCTCAATTCGATCGGAAATACCCTAATCGAAGAACAGAGATCCATTCCATGGTAAAATCTCTCGAATTGTAATCTCGAAATCTAGCTTTGCTTACTGTTGATCTCTGATTTACTTTCTTGCTGTTTTGTGATTCCGATTCTGAAAAACAGGCTCCCAAACCGATCGCGAGTCCGGTTCCAGATGCGTGGTACCCAACCTTAGCTGTTTTCATGCTCGCCGTTGGCCTTGTGGTCACCGCTTCTTTCTTCATGTAAGCTTGATCTCACCTCCACAGCATTTCCCACTTCTACAAAATGATTCTCTGTTTTCTGGATTTTGAATTCCGATTCCGCATGTCCAATTCCAAGTTTTGAATGAGTGGATCCAGGTGTTTTTGGTTTGGTTTAGAGCTTAACCTTAGTATTTATTACATAATGCACCTATTGCTAGATATAGATTAATGGGTTTTATTCTTTAGATAATGGGTGATGGTTTGTTTGGGGTCAATTATGATATCTATTCCTTTTTTTTCTAAATAGATTTTGGTGGGTTTTAGTGTCTGCAAGATTGTCTGGCTTATTTGACATCATGCTGGTGATGATGCATTCATTGTTTTAACGAAAATGGAAAATTAACTCACAGCTTTAGCAGTGGATGAAATTGATGAATGATTTGTGAATCTAATTTGATAAACAATTCGCCATATGGGTCTTATTAGCTCAGTTATGCCTTGGATATCTTGCTTGACTCTGTGCTTCTATGTCTTGTTTGTGTTATAGCCTCTTTACGGTGGAGGGAACATAGAACACATTCACTCTACACACGCACACATGCACACACAAGATTCTATACTTCTTGTTGTTACTCCTTTGGTGAGGTCACAGAGGGATAGGTTTTCATCTAACATTATACATGAGATTCTATGCTTGTCATTGTTAGTGACCGTACTCATCGCATTCATCAGTTGGAACCACATTGCTTGATGCCTGCCTGTGAGCCCTTTGGGTTCTAAATTGTGAGTTCTCCTATTAAATGGTATATATGGTGAAGCTGCTTAAAATATTAAAATTGTCTGTCCATTAGTGGATTCTAACTAGGAGTGTAAGGATTTTGATTTGGTGAAGCTGCTAAAGCTAGGCTTGCCTGATCATTTGATCATTTGGCTGAGGTGTGGAGCAGAAATTAAAAGATGGATCACATTTATGCTTCTTCTACAATGTATTTGATTTGGTCTACTTTGTTTGAGATTGTAAAGATATTTTTTGAATCATCTTTCAGTGATTTACTTGCTTTAGAACAATTGAATTTTATAGTTATAAGAACAGGAGATTTGGAGGATAAGAAATTCTTTATACCAATCAGATCTCATGGTTGGAGTTTTTATTCCTAAATTGTTTTGGATGACCCATTTGAATTGCTTTCAAACTTCTTTTGTCTCTGCTCGTTTCTCTTGAGAATTTTCTCATGATGCGTGTACTGCTGGATTGACTGGTCTGTCATAAGCTTTAGCTTCTTCCATTTCCTTTCAAGATTCTTAAATACATTTAATTTCACTTTATTTGTCTGTTATTTCCCACTTTCCATTCTGATTTCTAAGAGCAATATATATCACACGCAGCTATGAAGCAACTTCTTCTAGAAGAAACCGTAGTCTTGCCAAGGAGCTTACGACTGGAGCAGTGGCATCTGTCTTCCTGGTAAAGTTTCTTGTCTTTGTTTTTATTTGATTTCTCTATCCCACGATGTGAGTTGGTGCAAATGCTGATGCTCAATCTTGATGCCTCTCTCACAGGGTTTCGGATCATTGTTCTTGCTACTTTCAGCTGGCGTCTATGTCTGATTTTTAGAAACTGAGCTAGTTTACGAAAATTTGTCTTTCTTATAAATGAAGGATATTTTGTTTGTCATTGTTACTCAGAACTTCTTTTGTTTGTTTATCAAATGAGGATAGTGTCATTTATAACATGAAATCTTTGTCATGTAGAGGAGAGGATACTTTTGCATTATATGATGTTCTTAACAATCTATCTATTACATTTGCTTCTGGCTGAAACGGGTAATTTGTTTAAAGGGGAGGGAGCAGGATGGGGATTGGGGATGCTGGGTTTGAACTCTGAACCCAGCTTATTATGCCAAAAACAAGGTTAGTTTACCCCACGGTCATTGGCAATGGCATCTAGTCTTTTCAATTAATGGAATGGTGTAGGGTTGATGTTGTTGTTGTTGTTGTTGTTTTTTTTTTTTCATTAATCCTTTGTCCTGAATTTCTAACCAAGATCTTGGAAGATCCGATTTCACGGAGCATTCGAGAAATAGTATCAGGGAAGGTGGGATTTCAAGTTCAGGTCTTGTGGTTGGCCAAAAAAGCACCAAAGTCCTTGGACAGCCAAAATGTAATGCATTACCTTTTATTCTATAATCAATTATGTTATACTGTTTATGGCTAGCGACCGTTTAATGTGCAATGATTCAGTTTGGTGATGTTGTGCGGGGTTGACGTGGATAAAAATGTCTTTTTGATTTTTTTAACAATATAGAAATAGTTTTTTAATAATCTTTTTATATAATTTTTTTATATTATTAAATAAGTAGATATATGTAATATTAAAATTTTAATTAAATAAAAAGAATTAATTATTAAATAATATATAAAATTATACAAAAAAAATTATACTAAAATTATATTTTTAAATTATATTTTTTCTATTTAAAATTTGTAGGATTTTGATGGGATCTAAAGGTCTCTAAATATCAGCATCTAGAACAAACCGAGAGGAAGGGAACAAATGTAGTCAATCCAGCCGTTTGGACTACTAGTCATAAAAAGCTTCTTTGCTTATTTGCACCAATGAGTATTTGCATCGTTTTTAGTTTAGGGGTTTAAACGCTGATTTGAGGCAAGTTTGGAGGTTTAAAAGGGGATTTTGCCAAACCAAAAAAAAAGAAAAAAGAAAAAAAAGAAGAAGCTAAATTACAAGCGATACAAAAAGGGACAAAAATAGAGAGCTCAGGGCTCAAACCTGGGCCAAAAGTTACTATTAGCCATTTATCTTAATAAGTTTGAATATTTTAACACCTCACCTTATACATTGACATTTTTGGTCCCTCCACTTCAAAAGCTTCAATGAAATAACCCCCTCCGTTAAAATATCAGTTAAATATAAAAAGGTATATCTGCAATTGAGACCTTAAAGTATATAAAAAAAAATCCAAAATGACACTTTGGGATACAAATATTAATTGATGCTAGTTAGATCCTAAATCTAAAGAATTTAAGCGTAACAATCATAGTAGTTCTAAGGAAATCGAAGGACTATTAAACTTTGTTGTAGATTTATTATATCATGTATCTACGAAAGTAGAAAAAATAGAAAAATTATTAGACACATTTACTAAAATTGGAAAATGAGATTTAAATGAAGAAAGTAAGATATTACTAAAATCTTTGAAAGAAAATCTTAAAAATATGACAGAAAAAGAAGTCCAAGTAGATAAACAACATGAGATGTGGATGTTTGATTGGGGAAAGTTTAAGTTAAACCCACATGAGCATCTAAAACCAATAGGAGAAAGTATGACTAAAGAAGAAATCCTTGATAATTGGGATAAGGCTAAAAATGTTGAAGAAATGGTATATTGGGAACATAAATCATAAGAGTTAGAATTCCCTATGAAAAACATAAAAATGAAAAAAAAAAAAGGAATAAGGAAACCCTTTTGAAGGAGATGGGCCTTTAGGTAAAAATGAAGAAAAAGGGGAATTAAATGATGAAGTAATGAATCAATATGCTGAAGCATATAAGGACTATTTAAAGAAAGAAAAAGAAAAGTTTGGGAAAGTACCCCCACCTCCTAAGTTTGTAGAAGAAATATTAGTAGGAAATGGTCAAAATTTTACCTATATGAGAGAAATAGAGCCTGGAAAAATGGAAGGAACAGTAAGGGAAGGAAAATATAGGAGTCCTGTTAAACATGAATTCCTATCTAGATTAGATAGAAAAATGGAAGCAGTTTTGACTACAGGTGTATACTTAGATATAGACTATGCCATCGATCTAAAGAAAGAAATAGGAGATTGGGTGCGAGCTAGTGACCTAGTAGTCAACAGAAATGTTGCTTGGGAGTGGACATTCGCTAAAGGATATTTAGAAGCAACACTTAGAGGAAATGCTAAGAATTTCTGGGAAAGATATAAAGATGCACCAAACTTTGATGCTAGGACGAGAGAAAAGCCAAGATTAGCTTATTGGATGGCTTAAGAGTTAAAGAAAGAGTTTTGTGGAGAACAAGATATCGAGGGATTATTTGAAAAAAGTATAAGAGAAAAATTAACAAAGCTGAGAATCTATAAGATGGGTAGATTTGATGAATATTATTGTGAATTTTAAAAGTATTACTATAATTTAAAAAATTCAGAAACACCCTTCTAGATAGATCAATTCTTTCAGAAGTTACCAAACACATGGAACAAATTGATAATGGAGAGGTATGAAAAATATTTAAAAGAGGATGATGGGAGAGTAGACATGCTAGGGTTAAGGGCACAAATTGTTAAAAAGATACTTAAATAATATTGCACAAACACCTTAGCAATATGAGATTCTAAGAAGAGACTAGAGGATAGTATGGATAAGAATAGTTGTGGATATCTAATAGACATGCCTGGGTAGTATGGTTGTGAAAACCAAAGTTAGAATGCACATGTTGGATATGCAAAGAAAAAGGACATATAGCACCTGACTACCCAACGAAGAATCCAAAAAAGAGTATAAAGATAATAAAAGCATTTGAAGAGTTGGATTCAGAAGTAGAAATAATATCTGGAAGTGAGTTAGGAAGTGAAATATCAAATAGTGAAAGTATTTATGAATGAAATGAATCTAGTAATGAGTCTGAAGATGAGTTCGAAGAGGAAGTCTTAAGAATGATGAAAGAAGCATTGACATCAACAACCTCTATAGGGTTAACCTCAGAAACTACCTCATTAGGAGCCTTACATGAATCTCATGAAAGCATGGAAATTGAAGAAGAAATTGATGGAGAAGCTATTGCATGGAAGTTACCTAAAAAAGACAAAAAAGAAGTATACAAAGGAAGTAAATGGAGCCTCAATATAGATAGTTTTAAGGAAGTAACAAGGGTAGAACAAACTGAGGAAGAAAGTGTAATGATTTTGTTATTAGATCCTAAAAAGATAGAGAAGTATAGAAATAAGTACAACTTTGCCCATTTAGGATAAATCCAAATAGGGGTTTGTCCTTTGTTTAGAAGAGGAATTGACACACCAATTGGCATGCGTATTAGACTGTAGACATCTGAACCTAAAAGGTGCATTTATAGGAGGCACACATTCTAATTTATATAATGGACATATCATGTTCGATGTTTATCCAGACTATCATGTAAGTTTAGGAAATAGAAACCTACATAAGAGTCTAACTATGAAAATCTAAACCAAAAATATTAATATGCTAAAAGGTAGTCATAACTTATCACTACATTATAGAATAATGTATAGACTAGTTAACACTACAAATCCAAAGTTTAGAAGGGAACCTATAGATGTCATTCTATGGGAAAGTAAGAATGCCTCATGCACACAGACTAGTACCTAGAACATTAACATGGAAAGATCTCACTATTCCAACCAAATGGTTATTAGAAGACAAACCTAGAGCTTCAACTTCAAGACCAAATAGAGAACTAGAATTAGCTACTACAAAATATGGACGAGTGACAATAATAAACCCAGAAGAAGAGAGAAACTATAATAAAATACTAGGATATAAGGAAGTTAAGCTACCTATAAGAGAAGGGATATTTATGGTACAAGAATATGATTGGATGCCAGAGTGGTTAACAAAAAGGAATCCTCAATATCAAGCTTGGTTGATGGAGCAGCATTTAAGAGAGCAACAACAACCATAAGTAAAATTCATTTATGAATGCCATGGTGAAGAAACAAATAGGATGAAAGAACCCATAAATTCAATCAAGATTTCTAAGAATGGTTCATATATAAAACTTAAGTTTGAACCTAATGGGTATCACCTGTATACTATAGATGCATTAGTAGGTACATGAGTTACCTATACATTAGTTAAGCCAAATGTTCTTCTAGAAGATCATTGGGTTAAAGTTCCTGCAAAAAGGCTAGTAACAATAAATGGACAGATGGTAAAACTTAATTATTTAGCTAAAAATGTTCCAGTATACTTAGAAGAACAAGTATTTGTCATAGAACAAATATGGCAATTGCTAGAATTAAATGGAGATATAGTATTAGGAAATGATTTTCTGAAACAAAGGATGTGCCTTCCATTTGTGCGACATGCAGATTATATCCAGTTAGGAACACCACATGTTAGTATAAAGTTATTAAGAGAAGCAAGATAGAAATGTACGTTAGGCTTTGAACCACAAAAATTATTAGACCAACAAAAAAATATAATACCTTTACCCATGAAGAACATGTCAAAGTATGTGCCTATAAATTGTGGTGATATAGGTATAGTTAATGATAAGGAAGAAGAGGATGTAAGTTGGATAGTAGAAATTAATGAGCATTATGTGCAACAAAACCTTAAAGCTAGTAGAGATAGAATGCCAAGTCTAGAAGAAATATTAGGAAGGATTAAAGAAAACTTCAGTGAAGATCCTTTAAAGCTATGGAACAGAGATAAAACAATGGCAAAAATAGAATTAGTAGATCCAAAAAAGATTATTAGGATGAAACCAATGACATAACAACCTGATGATGTTAAGGAATTCAAGCAACGGATAGATGAACTTTGAAAGAAGGGCTTAATACAACCTTTTACTTCACCCTATAGTTCACCCGCCTTTATGGTTAGAAATTATGTAGAAATAAGAAGAGGAAAAGCTAGGATGGTAATGAATTATAAAGCTTTAAACGAAGCTACTAAGTTTGATGGACATTTTTTACCTAACAAAGAAGTACTATTGAATAATATTCAAGGAGTTAATATTTTTAGCAAGTTTGATTGTAAGTCGAGATATTGGCAAATAAAGATGGCTAAAGAATCAATTCCTTTAATAGCCTTTAGTGCACCCCAAGGACATTGTGAGTGGAAAGTAATGCCATTTGGGTTATGTAATGCCTCACAAATATTCCAAAAAAGGACAGACAGTATCTTTAGAGAATTTAGAGACTTTTGTGGTTTACATAAATGATATATTAGTATTTAGTAAATCCAAGAATGATCATAGAAGGCATTTAATGATGGTAGTAGAAAAGCACAAAGATCATGGAATAATTTTATCAGAAAAGAAAATGGAGTTAGAAAAGTCTAAAATAGAATTCTTAGGCTTAACATAACAAGGAAAAGTAGAACTCCAGCCTCATATATTAGAAAAGATTCATCAATTCCTCGATAGAATAGAAGGTAAAATGCAGCCATAGAGAATGCTAGGATGCCTAACTTATGGAGAGAAATATATTTAAAAAATCTAGCAAATTTAAGGAGTTCTTTACAAGAGAAATTAAAGAAAGACAGAGTGGAAGTGGACTGGTGATGATACAAACTTGATAAAAGAAATTAAAAACAAGATTAAAAGTCTACCAAAATTAAAGATGCCTAATGAAGAGGATTACATGATATTAGAAACATATGCTTTAGATAACTGCCAAAGTGCAGTATTAAAAGCCAAAGGAAAGAATATAGATAATGAAGAACTTTGTGCCTATGCAAGTGGAACCTTTAAACCAATTGAGAAAACTTATCATAGCAATGAAAAAGAATTTTTGGTAGTAAAAAGAGCTATGAAAAAGAATTTTTGGTAGTAAAAAGAGCTATAGAGAAGTTTGAAATTTTCTTATCTCCCAAAGAATTTTAGTGAGAACTAATAATAAGAACATTGCATCTTTTATAAAAAAAATAACCTTGATAAGTGTATGCAGCAAAGAAGGCTATTGAGATGGCAATTGTGGTTTAAGTAATTTCCGCTTTAAGATCGAATACATTAAAGGTGAGAAAAACTATTTGCTAGATGCACTAACTCGTGAAATGGCTTGTTCTTTACAAGAAGCCATGGAAGCTTACAGTTCATCTAGTTCTAAGAAAGAACAAATTCATGAGTTAAGAGAAATGGCTGAGGAATCTCTCATCCAGCAAGATAAAGATCTAAGACTTCCTTGGTTGTAGGGAATAAAGATGAGATCCCATAATATTATGACTACTTAGGTAAGAATGCTTATTAAAAGGCTAGCAAAAGAAAAGAAAAGCATTAAATAAAAATTAGACAAAATGCTAGAACTATTAGATAATATTATACTACTAATTTGTGAAATTGCTAAAATGATATAATAATAAGAGAAGTTAAAGCACTCTTTAAAAGTTTAGATTTCCTTATTAAACACATGGAAGAAAAATCTTCTATTAAAAAATCTAAATATTATCTAGTTGAACTAATACCAGAAAAGGTATGGTTCACATACCAAAGAGAGGTAGTCTTAAAAAATATTGAAGAATTCATGCCTTAAAATATTCAAGAAAAAATAACAAATATGCAACCAATTGCAATGAAAAATTGGTTTATAACTCATAGGTATCTCTATGAGGGATCTGTAAGTAATACAAGTGTTAAGCATATTCGGGAAGGAGATCAAAATTGGTATTTGGTAACACCCCCATGTTCACCATATACAACAGCGTGGTTGTTCGAACAAAGTCTACTCAAAAAAATAATCTTCAACGACAAAGAGATTAAGTATTTGTTTGTGTTTTTCCCACAAATAATCAAAGATTCACTCAGATGGGAATTGGAATTTTGTCAAAATATTAGATTTTGTCTTGAAGTCTACAATATGTCACCAGAATGGGGAGAAGGAATCACTTTCATATATACCTAGTTATCATATAGTTAGACTAAGAAAGAATTATGGATGGAATCTTTTAGCATGAAGAGAAGTAGTGACCTATGATGAAAAAGAAAAAAAGTTCCTTGCCAAAGCAAAGGCTAAAGCATTAATAACAATGGTTGCAATTCTTATAGAAAATGAGTATCTAGGATGGAAAACATTTGCAACCACTAAAAGAATAATTTTTTAGAAGCAAATACAGAAAGAATTCCCAAGTAATTAGTTAACAACACAGAGATTCAAACATGGTGTGGACAATACAACCCTTGAAATGACAGATGAGTGCAGAAACCACATGCAAAGATATCTCAAACTGACAAAAGTAATAAACCAAGATGCAAACGTGGAAGTAAAATTAGCCACAATTTGGGATGAAGGAGAATCTTCAATAGCCAGAGAAGCGTCAACATCCAGGAACATAAAGGAGGAAATGATAATAGAGCCCAATAATGAAGAAAATATCTTAGTAAATGTCAACTATGATGATAGCTCATATTGGAAAAATATGACAGATGATGAGTGGTACAACATTGAAAATATGATGGAAAAATAAAATGGCACTCATAAAAAATAGGACCATTATATAATTGTACTACCTTCAAGACAATTTGAAGTCTGGATTTGAAGTCCGAATAATTGTACTAGGACCTTATATCTTAGCAAACTATGTGTAAAATCCAGAGTTGAAGTCCGCCCATGTTGCTTATTAAAAGGGGCATGGACTACGTCTTATGGATAGAGTAGAGTTAGAATTGGAGTGTTCTACGTCTTGTGAAAGAACAAAGAGTTATGAAAATCCTTAGAGTTAAGTGTGTAAAATATTAAGTGTGTACTACTTACATTATCTATAATATAATTGAGTGTTCAGTTCTATAAAACCTCTGCCAAAATCTTGCCAAGTTATTGTCTCCTAAAATCTTAAAAATTATTCAACCTAAAACTTTGTGTATTGATCTTATTAAGCTACTTGTTGCCAAGTTGAAAGCCGTAAGGAAGGTGTGTTGGCATTAAGCTCTTAAAGTGAGGCACAATAATTTGAGTTGGTGATCATCAAAGAAGTAGTAGATGAAGCAAAGTGGGCTTTAGGTTGAAGGTAAGACCTATTATATGCTTAGCTAATATTGTTGAGTGTCACCACTATTAATATCTATCTTAGAATTGTATAACGACTAACAAATAGAGATATATATATATACACTAAGGTATGAATCTATGAATACTACATCACAAAGATTGGCAATTATAGTTGATGCTTTAGAGTTTAGTATTTATTGGAATGTAGAGTTTGGTACTAGAGCCAAGAGTCTCAGAGTTTCAAGGCTTAGGTGAAAAAGTTAAGGAAGTTAAAGGACTTGTTAAGAAAAACCAAAAACATTAAAGTAACCGTTGGTTAACGTTCAAAGCCAAAAAGCTAGTCAAAGGGCTAAAATCTTTAAAGTTAGTAAGTCAAAGGGCTAACACCTTTGAAAATAGTAAGCTAAAGGGCTTTTGACTTGTAACTTGAAGGGCTAAAAGCTTTAGAAACGTGAAGGTTAAGGGCTTTCTAGAGATATAAGCCTCAGACCTGAATGGGCCAAACCAAGCCAGGAACATCGACAACTCTGATCAGGTTCAGGTGCACAGGCACAGCTCTGAGTCCGACACACACCAGGCTCGAAAAATTACCGCGTGTTGATTACCTCCTTAGCAGCGCGTAGAGAGCAACACCTTCTTCCCCCTGCATTTCGTTTTCCTCAACGATCCCCCACCACCATCATCACAGTCTAGTAGTAGGGTCCCGAGGGAAAGACATTGTTTTTTATTATCAGCGGCACTCCCACTCTCAAGAATGGACGCTCCTCCTCCCCAGCAACAGCAAGGTCCCAAGAAGCGAGGCCGGAAACCCAAGCCAAAGGAAGAGAACCACCAGCAGCAGCAGCAACCCAGCGCCGGCAAGATGAAGGAGGGGAAGAGAACGCAACAGCCCAGCATCGATGAGAAGTACACTCAGTGGAAATCGCTGGTTCCCGTTCTCTATGACTGGCTTGCTAATCACAATCTCGTTTGGCCCTCTCTCTCTTGCCGGTACATTCTTCTTTTTTCACGCTTTCTACGGTTTTAGGGTTAATGGTATTTTTCTCTGGGGGATTTAGTTTGGCTTCGCCTCTTCTGTATTGGGTCTAGGGTTTATATTGTTCCAAAAGATCTTCAATTTTTGTGCTTCCAGTGGTCCCTTTTAATCATGATACCCGAATCTATTATCTCTGTGATTTCTCTGCGGGTTTGAAGTCTGATACGGCCGTCATTTCTTGTTGTTCATGAATGAAGCAGCTGTTCTTTTTGCTGACATGTTGTTTTAGATTGTTGGCTATTCCTGGACTATGTTGAGATGATTGTTAAATCTTCATTTTTATAAGAATATAATATTCCTTTTTATCAATAATGAGACGTCAATTTCCCTGTATACAGTTGGGGTCCGCAGCTTGAGAAAGCTACCTATAAGAATCGCCAACGTCTTTACCTCTCTGAACAGGCAAGTCTGTTTTTATGAACTATTGTAGTTAGAATGGTGTTCTGAACATTTAGAAAGTTGGAACCTTTCCCATTGGAGTAAGAATTTAGCTTAAAACTTTCAATTATGTGGGAGCATGATTATTATGTGTTGAAGTTACTACCGTGAGACATCTTCCATCTTTCTCCTAGGAAAGTTATTTTTGTGTTTGCCAATTTGTAGGTTGTTTGTTTTACATGATACTGTACTATTTGGGTATTGCGTGTCCTGAACCTATTCTTGTGAATGGAAATAAAGATGTTTGGCTGATTTTGCATTCCTTTTGCTTACCTATTTTTTATCTGTGCCGCCAGACTGATGGCAGTGTACCGAATACTCTTGTCATAGCAAATTGTGAAGTTGTCAAACCTAGGGTGGCTGCTGCAGAGCACATATCACAGGTAAAATTCACTTTTGGGATAGTTTTTTGGGTGCTCTATTTTAATTTTCGTGATAACATGTCTACACATTGCAGTTACCTCCTCTATTTTGACATGGGTTATGCTGTATCTTTCAGTTCAATGAAGAAGCGCGCTCACCATTTGTAAAGAAGTACAAGACCATCATACATCCAGGGGAGGTTTGAATCTTCTTGCTGACATGCTACAAGAATGAGTTTATTTCTGTTACGAATGTAGACAAAATAGTACTTGATTATTTAGCTGTTGGATGCAAATCTTATTGTGCCTTTTTGTGTGACTGAAGATGTTTTGGTAGGTGTGGTAGATATTTGGCTTAAATTTATATCTTACAACTCATATTCTTGTACTCCTTCAACATGTATCTTGACATATCTTCCTTTTAACTTTTTATTCCTAAGTGCTGTTTTACTTGATGTTCTTTGCTGTGACTAGAAAATATTATTTTGCAGGTTAACAGAATCAGAGAGCTTCCACAGAACTCCAAGATAGTGGCCACTCATACAGATGGCCCTGACGTAAGTCTTGTTAATTTATTTAATTACTTATTTCGTGATCACCTTTTTGTTATTTTGTTTAACACTAGGTTGTTTAAATTTTATGAAATGGTGCTTAATGAATTTCAGGTTCTTATTTGGGATGTTGAAGCTCAACCTAACCGTCATGCTGTTCTTGGGGCAACACATTCTCGCCCTGATTTGGTATGTTTTGGTGATAGTTTGACCTGATGGAATGAATTGATCGGAAAACTCTCAGACGCACACACAACACACCCACAGACGCACAATAGGAGTTCTGGTTGCATATAGATTGTGTTTTCTTATCTCTGTACACTATATCATTTTAATTATCCACCTTTCTTTTCGCAGGTTCTAACTGGCCATCAAGATAATGCTGAGTTTGCTCTTGCAATGTGTCCAACTGAGCCATATGTGCTTTCTGGAGGTTAGAGATTGTAATTGTTTGATTAATTTTATTATTGCTCGGTTTTTAATTGTTTATAAAAGATTCAAATAAGGAAATCTTTTTGGAAATTGTGGTTTGTTCTGGGGGTGACCAAAAAATTAATAATTGTGTCATAGTCAATAATGCCAATTTTCATTTCATGTTCATCAAGTTTTCTAAGACAATGATGCTTATGACAGGGAAAGATAGGTCAGTGGTTTTGTGGAGTATCCAGGACCACATAACAACAACAGTTACAGACCCATCTAAATCTCCAGGAGTTGGTGGATCAATCATTAAACAGAACAAAGCAGGGGAAGGTAATGACAAGGCTGCTGAAAGCCCTACTGTTGGTCCTCGAGGTATCTTCTGTGGGCATGAGGATACAGTTGAAGATGTGGCATTCTGTCCATCTAGGTATTCATTTTCTCTTCATCAAATGCATGTGATTATTTTCTCAGTTTATCATCTAGAATGCACTTAATTTATATTTTTTACATGTAAAAGTTGAGTTTCAGACTTTTTAGGGTTTTTTTTTTTTTAACTTTCAACAGCAACAGCAGTTTGAAACTTATGAGTAAATGCCTGTTAATTTCTGAAAATTTTGTACCTTGCTGAAGTGCACAGGAGTTTTGTAGTGTTGGTGATGATTCTTGCCTCATATTTTGGGATGCACGGGTTGGCACCAGCCCAGCTGTTAAGGTTGTTTATCTCCTTTGTTTTTCCTGCTCAGTGTTTACCTTTATTTGCCATGGAAACTTCAAAATGGCATCATAGTTGCATGGAATTTTAAACATAGATTAAAGCTAATGATACC